TTAAAATGGCTAATACCAGTCCGTTTCAGCTCACTGATGCCTAGGATATTGATCTTTATGTGTTCCATTTCATTCCTGATGACTTCCAATTTTCCTAGATTCATACTTTGTACATTCCATGTTCATGTTATTAATGAATGTTTGCAGCTGTTTCTTATCATTTTGAATCGTGCCACCTCAACAAATGAAAGTCTCGAAAGTTTGACTCTATCCATGTCATTAAGGTCGACTGTAATTTGAGGAGGCAGCTCTTCCTCAGTCATATTTTGAATGACTTCCAACCTGGGGGGTCATCTTCTGACACTGTATCAGACAATGTTCCACTGCTATTCATAAGATTTTCACTTGCCACTTTTTAAGAAGTAGACCTCCATGTCCTTCTTCCTTATCTGTCTTAGTCGGAAGCTCCACTGAAAGCTGCGCACCATGGTGACCCTGCTGGTATTTGAAATACCAGCATCACAGCCACACGTAAGCCGCCACAGTATGACCAATGCATGGTGGAAGGTACTTATAGGGAAACCTTACTGTGTCCTCCTTCTCCTGCCTCCCTTTAAATTATTTCTGTTTTGTGAAATTCAGAACCCTGGGACTCATATTATGGGATGAGAAAGGACTGAGGGGCCAGTGACTTTTTTCCTGCCTACTTTACTGCGGTTGTGTTTAGTTAAATGTTACACTAGGTCCAATAAGGGAAGAAAAATGGCCATGGAATCTATTAACTGAGCAAGCTGCGAGCCTGGGTGTGAATCTTCAGTGAAATGACTCTGCTTACGTGACCGCTGCGTGTGGTGAGGGTTCCCTCCAGAGTGAGTCCTTAAATGGAGCCCTTGTTGGACTTGTGTGTTTACATATACATTTTCATTCCTGGAGGAATATAAAGTGAGAATGTGGGCCATATCTCTTCAGTACTTAAACAACAAATGACTTCATGTTGTTTGACTAGATTGTTCTTGACAATAAAATACTTTCTTTCATGTTTATAGCTAGAACTCATAGTCCACTAAGTTTTATAGAAAGTCCTAAGAGTCAATTGCTGTATTAGTTTATCCCAAAGGTCTATATTGGGTGGGAAGGAAAGAGAGGAAATCTCCAACCTTTAACCTTTGCATAGAAACTTCTTGGTTCTTTCATTCAAATACTATGTTTAGCAATTTTTCCGTGCTTATAACACACTGTTGTTAGTTGCCGTCGATTCTGACTCATGGTGACCCACGTGTGCAGAGCAGAACTGCTCCACAGGGTTTTCAAGGCTTTGACTTTCCGGAAGCATATTGCCAGGCCTGTCTTCTAAGGTGCCTCAGGGTGGGTTCCAACTGCCAACCTTTTGGTCAGCGCTTAACTGTTTGAGTCACCCAGGGGCTCCTAACTTCTTGGTTCTCCATGTTTAGTCTCAGAGATTGTGGCTTCTTCACCTATTAAGCTAATTGATGATATGCTGAGTTTTAATTTCTTTTTTTTTAACTTGGACTGATTGGACTCTATAATTTAGTTAACTGACTCTGTATTGACTTATTTTTGGAGGAGCATGATCAACCTGGAAATTTTGTCACAGTTTCAAACCGGTTCATTCCACTTGGACCACTTGATGACAATTTTCATTTCCATCCCAGATATACTGAATCATAATCTACATTTTAACAAGATGTCTAGGTAATTCTTATAAGAAAACTAAGATAGTTATAAGATAACGAAGACACTTGTCTTAGCTGTTTCAGTTTGTCAAAACCTGTTGGTCTATATGTTGTTCACAAAATAAAATTAGAGGAAAAACTTGTTCAACATAAAGTTAATTATTTGGTTAGATAATAAAAGAAAATGAATTTTTGTTACATTATTGAGAAGCATTTCGAGAAGGGGAAGGTATTATAAGGAAATATGCAAAGACCTGGAGTTAGAAAAATCAAAAGGGAAGAACAAGCTCGGTGTTTCTCAAACTGAAAGAATGGAAGAAAAAATTCAAGCCTCGAGTTGCAATTTTGAAGGACTCTATGGGCAAAATATTGAACGACTCAGGAAGAATCAAAACAAGATGGAAGGAATACACACAGTCACTGTATGAAAAAGAGTTGGTTGACGTTCAACCATTTCAGGAGGTGGCATATGATCAAGAACTGATGGTATTGAAGGAAGAAGTCCAAGTTGTACTGAAGGCACTGGCGAGAAACGAAGGCTCCAGGAGTTGACGGAATACCAGATGAGATGTTTCAACAAATGGATGCAACGTTGGAAGGACCCACTCATCTGTGCCAAGGAATTTGGAAGACAGCTTCCTGGCCAACTGACTGGAAGAGATCCATATTTGTGCCCATTCCAAAAAAAGGTGATCCAACAGAATGTGGAAATTATCAAACAATATCTTTAATATCACACACAAGCAGAATTTTGCTGAAGATCATTCAAAAGCAGTTGCATCAGTACATCTACAGGGAGCTTCCAGAAGTTCAAGCTGGATTCAGAAGAGGACGTGGAACCAGGGATATCATTGCTGATGTCAGATGGATCTAGGCTGAGAGCAGAGAATACCAGAAAGATGTTTACCTGTGTTTTACTGACTATGCAAAGGCATTCAACTGTGTGGATCATAAAAAATTATGGATAACATTGCGAAGAATGGGAATTCCAGAACACTTAATTGTGCTCATGTGGAACCTGTACTTAGACCAAGAGGCAGTCGTTCGAACAGAACAAGGGGATACTGCGTGGTTTAAAATCAGGAAAGGTGTGAGTCAGGATGCTTTCACCATACTTATTTAATCTGTTTTCTGAGCAGATATTCTGAGAAGTTGGACGATATGAAGAAGAACATGGCATCAGGATTGGAGAAAGACTCGTTAACAATGTGCGATATGCAAATGACACAACCTTGCTTGTGGAAAGAGATTCAGACTTGAAGCACTTACTGATAAAAATCAAAGACCACAGCCTTTGGTATGGATTACACATCAACACAAAGAAAACAAAAATCCTCCCAACTGGAGAAAATATTGAAGTTGTCAAGGATTTCATTTTACTTGGATACACAATCAAGGCCTATGGAAGCCGCAGTCAAGAACTGAAACAACGTATTGCATTGGGCAAATCTGATCCAGAAGACTTCTTTAAAGAGTGAAAAAGCAAAGATGTCACTTGGAGAACTGAGGTGCGCCTGACCCAAGCCATGTTGTATTTTCATTCACCTCATATGCATGCGAAAGCTGGACAATGAATAAGGAAGACCAAAGAAGAATTGATGCCTTTGAATTATGGTGTTGGCAGAGAATATTGAATATACCGTGAACTACCAAAAGAATGACCAAATCTGCCTTGGAAGAAGTACAGTCAGAACGCTGCTTGGAAGCGAGGGTGATGAGACTGTGTCACGTCCTTTGGACACGTTATTAGGAGGGACCAGTCCTAGAGAAGGATATCATGTTTGGTAGATAGTCAGCGATAGAGAGGAAGACTTTCAGCGAGATGGATTGACACAGTGGCTGCAACGATAGGCTGAAGCATAGCATTGATTGTGAGGATGGCATAGGACTGGGCAGTGTTTTGTTCTGTTGTACACAGGGTCGCTATGAGTCAGAACCAACTCGACAGCACCTAACAACAACAACAAACATATAAGTAACAATATGTTTGCCATTTCAACAGTCTTCGCATGCGCAGTTCAGTGACATTAAATATGTTCTTCATGCTTCTCAACCATCATCATTAACCATTCTGAAGACATTCTTTTACTTTGTTCTGGAAGAAAGGAGAGATGGCATGAGGATTTAATAATGACAGAAATAACTAGAAATGCCATATTCATGCCTTGGAGGCTCACCATTATGAAGTGTTTTGAGCTTCAGCTCTTTTTTACTGAAGCCAAACCTAATAATTTTCTAATAAATCTGTGTATTAAAAAAGTTGAATGTAGGTCTGTCAATTTCTGCTTGTGTAACTTGGCTCTTGGGCATGTGGGAGTCCTGTCCCTGGGTTCTGTGCAGAACTGAACACTGGTTATCAGTGTTCCCAAAGGACGTAGAAATCTCCCTTAAATAACTTTTTAAAATTTTTTATCTAAGAAACAGACATTTATTTCATGAAATACATCAAAACCATTGCTATCTGAAGCTAGAGAATAAGTTATTCTGTACTTTAAACTGTCTGGGTCATTTAGGCTTTACTTCTTCGATCACTGATAATTTAAAAATGTTTGCCATTTTTTAAATTTACTGTTTCTGTCTTTACTAAATCTCCCAGTGAAACACAGCTATCCTGTTGATTTTCTTCTTCTTCCAATAGGACTGGAGTCTTTTAGCCACCCAGCCTAAACTGGGAAATTTACTCTTTGGTAAAATTTCTTCTCCCCAGAATGCTTGTGACTGAAGGCTCTGACTTAATTTTTCTTTTTTAATTTGGTGCTTAAAAAAAAAATCTTTCTGATATCTATTAGTATAATTTTCCCACCATCCTTCTTTCTCTGTGGGATACTCTTCCGCCACAACTCCCCAAGACTTCCTCACATCCTTCAGGTCTAACCCTCACAGAGAGGCCTTCTCTGATCCCGCCTTAGCCAACATAACACCCCCCTGCCTCTACCCTGCTTGATTTTGTTTCCATCATTTATCACTTTTGCTTGGTTTAATTTTTTTCTTATTACTTATTGTCTGATTTATTTGTTTCTGTCTCTCCCTCACTGGAAGCTAGAGAAGGGACTTGGTCTTTTTTCACCGTTGTGTTCCCAGTGCTTTGAAGGTGTCTGGTACGTAGTAGGTGCTCAGTAAGTCAGTATTTGTAAGCAGCCCCGTATGCTATGTGATGTTAGATGTGCTTTACAAATTTGGGAGGCTCAGAAGAACTGCTTGGAGAAGGTCAAGGTTACATGGTTTCTAAGTGACAGCGCCAGCAACTGATTGTATTACGTGGGATTGTTATTCTTCACTCAGCTGTCTTCCAGATAAGACAAATTGTTATAAATTTGTATTTTCACTCATTGTAGGTGTTCAAACTACTAAAACAGAAATTTGAAGAGACATTAGTGGAAGTGGTTGTTATTGTTGGGTACTTCTGATCTTTTTTAAAAAATGCCTATTTATTTTTTTAAATCCAGGAGTATATGGAAAAAGAAGCGGTCGTAGTAAAAAATGGAAGGAGATGCTGAAGCTACCCCCTGTCAGCAAGTGCAGCGAGCTTAGACATTCCATTGGTGAGTGATGATACCTGCTTACTGTCTGGCGGGGGCGTTTGCACTGCACCGTTTACTAGTTGTTATTCTTTCTCGATTTGTATAATTGTTTCAAAAATTATATGTCAGAGTCTCTTTATGTCTTCATGATTCTTTCCAGGAAAAAAAATCCTTTAGGTTTTCTAACCTGCAGTTATAAAGTATGTGGCTGTTGAGTTTTTCATTAAAAAAAAAAAAAAATTTTTAAATAATATTTTATTGTGTTTTTGGTGAAGGTTTACACAGCAGTTTAGGTTCCCCTTCAACAATTCTACACAAATTGTTCAGTGACGTTGGTTATAGTCTTCACAATGCGTAAACATTCTCGTTATTTCCGTTCTGGTTGTTCTGTTTCACCAATTTTTTTTTTATTGTACTGTAGATGAAAGTTTACAGAGCGAATACATTAAACAATTAATACACATATTGTTTTGTGACATTAGTTGCCAACCCCACAACGTGTCAACACTCTCCCCTCCTGCCTTCTAGTCCTTGCCCCTGGGCTGGTGCGGCCCTTTAGTCTCGTTTTGTCTTATGGGCCTGTCTAATCTTTGGCTGAAGGGTGAACCTCAGGAGTGACTTCAGTACTGAGTTAAAAGGGTGTCCGGGTGCCATACTCTCGGGGTTTCTCCAGTCTCTGTGAGACCAGTAAGTCTGGTCTTTTTTTGTGAGTTTGAATTTTGTTCTACATTTTTCTCCAACTGTGTCTGGGACCCTCTATTGTGATTCCTGTCAGAGCAGTCAGTGGTGGTAGCCAGGCACCATCTACTTGTGCTGGACTCAGTCTGGTAGAGGCTGTGGTACTTGTGGTCCGTTAGTCCTTTGGACTAATCTTTCCCTTGAGTCTTTGGTTTTCTTCATTCTCTCTTGCTCCAGACGGTGTAGGACCAGTGGAGTATCTTAGATGGCCACTCACAAGCTTTTAAGACCCCAGACGTTGCTCACCAAAGTAGACATTAAAAATATTTTTAAAGAAGTGATACATATTTATTGTTGTATACAGAACAGAATGATAAAATAGAATTTGTCTCTCCATGACTCAATCACTCTCCCTAAAGTAAACACTGTGAAGTGGTTCTTAGTATCCTTCCAGACAGTTTTCTATGCATCTTAATAAGGATTACTGACACTAACTTCAGGAAAAGACTAGTCACATAGAAACACGGCGTATCAGTGTGATGGGATACTCTACAGCTATTAAAAAGGATGAGCGGTCGCTACGGGTCTTGACATGGGCACGAGAAGTCAGATGGAGAACCATGTCTTCAGTACAATCATAACTGTATCTTTTTTTAAAGGTGGATTTCCAGTTCAAAGCATATGTAATTTGAAAAATGGTGTCTTATTTTAATTATGGATGAAACTGCATTTCTATTGGGTTAATTTTCCTTTTTCTGATTCATTTATAGAAGCTCTTTATATATAAAGGGAGTTATCCCTTTTATTTCTAATGTGAATATATTTTATAATTCTGATTTTTGCCATTTGTCTTATACTATTTTTTTTCCATACAGAGTTTTAAATTTGTATGTAGACAAATATGTCAGTCTTTTTCTTCTTACAATCTGAACTTTGTGTTGTGCTTGGGAAGGATGCCTTTACTCCAAGATTATTTTTCAAAGTGCATCTGATTCCCGGTATTGTGTGATTGTTCACCGTTTTGTCATCTGATATGATTTGCTCTGTGTTGTAAATCCTACCTCTATGATGTTAATGAGGTGGGATTAGCGGCAATTATGTTAATGAGGCGGGACTCAATCAACTAGATTAGGTTGTGTTTCAAGTCAATCCCTTTTGAGATATAAAAGAGAGAAGCAAGCAGAGAGACATAGGGATCTCATACCACCAAGAAACAAGAGCCAGGAGAATAGTGCGTTCTTTGTACCTGGGGTCCCTGTGCTGAGAAGCTCCTAGATCAGGGGAAAATTGATGACAAGGACCTTCCCCAGAGCCCACAGAGAGAGAAAGCCTTCCCATGGAGCTGGCACCCTGAATTTGGACTTCTAGCCTCCTAAACTGTGAGAGAATAAATTTCTCTTTGTTAAAGTCATCCACTTGTGGTATTTCTGTTTTAGCAGCACTAGATGACTAAGACACCATCTTTCTTTTAGTATTTATAAAGTTCCTTTTTAAGAAATTTTAACCTCATAAAAATTAAAAATTTTTGTTCACTGAAAAAAGACTGTCCAAAAAGTGAAGAGACAAGCTATGGTCTGGAAGAATATTTTTGGAAACCATGTATCTGACAAGATTCTAATAACCAAAATATGTATAAAACTTCAACAACTTGACAACAAAAAGACAAGTAACACTATCATAAAATGGGCAAAGGACTTGAATAGACATTTCACCAGAGAGGACATTCAGATTGTCACCAAACACAAGAAGAGCTGTGCAGTGTCATTAGCCATCAGAGAGATGCAAATCAAAACCACAATGAAATACCATTTCACTCCCACTAGAATGGAGCCCTGGTGGTGCAGTGGTTAAGAGCTAAGGCTGCTAACCAAAAGATTGGCAGTTGGAATCCACTAGCTGTGCCTTGGAAGCCCTATGGGGCAGTTCTACTCTGCCCTGTAGGGTTGCAATGAGTCAGAGTCAACTCGACAGTAACAGGTTTTGGTAGAATGGCTAAGATAAAAAACAAAACAAAAGAGAAAATAACAAATGTTAGTGAGGATGTGGAGAAATTGGAATGCTTATCCATCGCTGGTGGGAATGCAGAATGGTACAGTGTTGTGCAAAACAGTGTGGCAGTTCCTCAAAAAACTAAAAATAAAACTACCGTATGACCCAGCTATTCCACTCCTAGGTATATACCCAAAGACTTGAAAGAAAAGACTCAAACAGAGACTTGTACGCCAACCCTCACTGCAACACTATTCACAATAGCCGAAAGATGGAAACAGCCTGAGTGCCCATCAGGAGATGAATGGATACACAACACGTGGCACGTACATACAATGGAACACTACTCAGCCAGTAGGAGAAATGAAGTCGTCATATGTGCTACAATATGGATGGAGCTTGAAGACATTATGCTGAGTGAAGTAAGTCAATCACAAAGGACAAATACTGTATGACCTCACTTACATTAAGACAAGAAAAGTCAAATGTATACAGAACAAAGTTTATCAGAGGTTACCAGGGGCGGAAGGGAGGGGGAAAGGAGGGGTTAACGGTGACGAAATATTGCATTGATTAAGGATAGGCTTCCACAGCCGATTATTATAATTATTATATGTAATTATTATTGTAATTTCTGTAAGTTGTACACTTAGACCTCGGCTGCTAACCAAAAAGTCAGCGGTTCAAATCTACCAGCCATTCCTTGGAAACTTTATGGGACAGTTCTACTCTGTCCTGTAGGGTCACTATGAGTTGGAATCGACTTGACGACAATGGTTTTTTTTTTTTTTTAATTTTTTTTAAGTTGTACACCTGTAAAAAGTTGCATTGGCAAAAGCTGTGTGATAGAGATATTTAAAACAGCAGCAACAACAAAAAAGAGTAGCTACCGAGGCTGCTTATGTACAACTAAAATCTTCATGGGATTTGGTTTCTTGGTTTAGGTCATGGAACATTCCAGGTAATTGACCTAATAGCTTATTTAGTGCTTTTGTTCTACCTCCTAGTTGGATGCTTAGTGCCTGGGGTCTTAAAAGGTTGCAAGCAGCCATCCAAGGCCCAAGAATTGGTCTCAATTTGCCTGGAGCAACAGAGGAAGAAGGAATGTCAGGAATAGGAGAAGGCTATGGAATGTGCGGCTAACTGCCTCTGTGAACAACTGCTTCCTTTGCCAGGAGACCGGAAGAACTGGATGGTGCCCAGCTACCATCACTGAACGTTTTGATCGACGAGTCTATAGAGGAATCCTTATTAAATAGGGGAAATACAGAAAAATATTCAAATTCTCATGGACTTGACTTCCTGGAGCCATGAAGGTTGAATGAACCCCTGAAACTATTGCCCTGAGATCATCTTTAAACCTTAAACCAAAAAAATCTCCTGAAGTATTCTTAAAACCAAACAGTGGTTTAGCTTAAATAGTAAAAAAAGTCTGCCTTGAGCATTGTGCTCTTTTAAGAACTATGTATATGGGATCAAATTGACAACAGCAACTCCAAAGATAGGAAACTTAGGGGACAGTAAATTTATGTTAATGCGGGAGGAACAACTGAGAAAAGGAGGGTGAGAATGGTTATACACCTTGAAGAATGTAATCGGTGTCACGAAATTGTACGGGCAGAAACTGTCAAAATGGTGTATATTTCGCTGTGTATATAAATAAAGTAAAAAGAAATTTTAATTTTTAACTGTGAAAATTAGCGTCAGATGGTATAAAGAGGGAGATAGTTCCCCCTCATTGGACTACCCAGTTGTTTTAATTTTTAACTTCATTAAGATTTTTTAATAACAGATTATTGAGATATAATTCACATACCATACAATTCACCTTCTTAAAGTGTACTATTTAATGGTTTTTAGCATATTCACAGAGTTGTGCAACCATCACCACAATCAATTGTAGAAAGTTTTTATAATTTCCAAAAGAAACCCCTCATCTCTTGGCAGTCCTTCCACACCTGTCCCTCCTGCTCCCCTAGCCCCAGGCAACCACTGATCTCCTTTCTTCTCTATAGATTTCCCTGTTCTGGGCAGCTCATAAAAATGAGAATCATATAATCGTGACCTTTTGTGACTGGCACCTTTCACTTAGCGTGGTGTTTTCCAGGTTCATCCACGTTGTGTCATGAGTCATTACTTTGTTCCTCTTTCTTGATAAATGATATTCCATTGTGTGTGTATATGTGTGTGTGAGTGAGTGTGTGTGTGTGTGTAACACGTATGTTGTTGTTAGGTGCCGTCCAGTTGGTTTCGACTCATAGTGACCCCATGCACAACAGAACGAAACACTGCCCGGTCCTGCGCCATCCTTACAGTTGTTGCTGTGCTTGAGCCCATTGTTGCAGCCACTGTGTCAGTCCGTCTTGTTGAGGGTCTTCCTCTTTTTCGCTGACCCTCTGCTTTACCAAGCATGATGTCCTTCTCCAGGGACTCATCCCTCCTAATAACACGTCCAAAGTACGTGAGATACAGTCTCGCCACCCTTGCTTCTAAGGAGCATTCTGGTTGTATTTCTCCCAAGACAGATTTGTTCGTTCTTTTGGCAGTCCATGGTATATTCAATATTCTTCACCAACAGCACAGTTCAAAGGTGTCAATTCTTCTTCGATCTTCTTTATTCATTGTCCAGCTTTCACATGCATGTGAGGCAATTGAAAACGCCATGGCTTGGGTCAGGTGCACCTTAGTCCTCAAGGTGACATCTTTGCTTTTCAACACTTTAAAGAGGTCTTTTGCAGCAGATTGGCCCAATGCAACGTGTAGTTTGATTTCTTAACTCCCGCTTCCATGGGCGTTGATTGTGGGTTCAAGTAAAATGAAATCCTTGACAACTTCAGTCTTTTCTCGGTTTATCATGATGTTGCTTATTGGTCCAGTTGTGAGGGTTTTTGTTTTCTGTATGTTGAGTTGTGATCCATACTGCAGGCTGTAGTTTTTGATCTTCATCGGTAAGTGCTTCAAGTCCTCTTCACTTTCAGCAAGCAAGGTTGTGTCATCTGCATAGTGCAGGTTGTTAATGAGTCTTCCTTCAATCCTGATGCTGCATTCTTCTTCATGTAGTCCAGCTTCTCAGATTATTTGCTTAGCATACAATTTGAATCAGTATAGTGAAAGGATACAACCCTGATGCATACCTTTCCTGACGTTAAACCACTCAGTATCCCCTTGTTCTGTTTGAACAACTGCCTCTTGATCTATGTACGGGTTCCTCATGAGCACAATTAAGTGCTCTGGAATTCCCATTTTCTGCAATATTATCCATAATTTGTTATGATCCACACAGTTGAATGCCTTTGCATAGTCAATAAAACACAGGTAAACATCTTTCTGGTATTCTCTGCTTTCA